TCGGAGGGTCCCGGGGTCCCTCACCAGGGGTGGCCAGGGATGTCAGCGGGGCGCTGGCACAGCCCTGCACTTACCCAGATGCCCAGGGTCACGGTCTGGTCCCCCACGGTCATCACCTTGGCCACAAAAGCGGCTCCGATCGTCTGCAAGCGAAGCAAGAGGAGCGGTGGGAACCGGCCCGGGCATGCAGGGGCATCTGGCCTGGGAACACAGTGGAAACCGGGGCAGGGACACGGGGGAATTCACCCCGGGGCGTGCGGAAAGAGGCTGAGGACACGCGGGGACCGACCCGCGGGGCGGGAGGGAGGTGGCGGGTCCCAGCCCGGACACGGCGGGTACAACGCGAGGGGACGCGGTCCCACAGACGTGGGTGGCAGCATCCCGGGGACACGGCGCGGAAACGGGGGGACCACGGGCAGGACGCGGGGGTGCCACGGGAGGGGCTCATCCCGGGGAGGCGAGGGAGACGCGGGGGCGCCACGCCGGGGCCGCGCGGTGCCGGGTGTCACTCACGTTCTGGTAGGGCCCGGCGCGGAAGCGGCCGTGGGCGCAGCGCTCCACGAGGCTGCTCTTGCCCACCCCCTCCTGCCCCAGCAGCACCACCTTGGCGTCCACCCGCCTCCCGCTCATCCTCGCGCCGCCGCCGCGGGGCGGGGCCGCACCGGCCGGGGCGGGGCCGGAACCGGGCGGGGCGGGACCGGAACCGGGCGGGGCGTGCCGGAAGTGCGCAGTGCGGGGCGGAAGCGCGCGGCGGGGCGGGGCGGGGCGCGCGGGCCGCATGGCGGCCGCCCAGCAGGCGCGGGCCTGAGCGGCGGCCCCGATGGGGAAATACTGCGCCAGCCTGGGCGTCCTCAAGGGGCCCTGGGACCAGGTGTTCGCCGCCTTCTGGCAGCGCTACCCCAACCCCTACAGGTGCGCCGGGGCCCTCCCCGACCCCCGCCTCCTTCCGCCGCTCGGTCCCACCCGGGATCGGTGCCACGCCCGGTCCCCAGCCCAGCCCGTTCCCCGGGGTCCCGCGGGCTCCGGCCGGCGGGGATGGGTGTCCCGCACCACCGGTGCCCTCCCTGCATTAATCGTTCCGTTCCTGGCGATTGCCAGCCCCGGGGGGAGCTGGCGAGGAGCAGGGCGTGATGTTTCCTTCCCCATTTTTAGCAAACATGTCCTGACCGAAGACATCGTGCACCGGGAGGTGACGCCGGACCACAAGCTGCTCTCTCGGCGGCTCCTGACCAAGACCAACCGGATGCCGCGCTGGGCAGAGCGTTTCTTCCCAGCCAATGTCGCCCACTCCGTCTACATCCTGGAGGACTCTATCGTGGACCCCAAGAACCGAACCATGACCACATTCACCTGGAACATCAACCACGCTCGTCTCATGGTAGGTGCTGGGCTGGGCGGTGTGCGTGGGGTGGAGGGGACCCAGCAGTGCCCACGGCCGGGCTGTGCCTCCCGCAGGTGGTGGAGGAGCGCTGCGAGTACCGGGTGAACCCTGAGAACAGCAACTGGACCGAGGTCAAGCGGGAAGCCTGGGTATCCTCCAGCCTTTTCGGCGTCTCGCGGGCCATCCAGGTGAGTTCAAGCAGTAAAGCTGCTGCTCACCCTGCTCTACCCTTCCCTTGTGCTGGTTTTACACCCTTTCCCTTTGTTCCCCCCATCCTCATGAGTTCTTGAGGCACCCAGAACCATCACCCTGCTGTACCCTTTTCTTGTGCTGGTTTTATACCCAGAACACTCACTTAAAGTCACTGTGATTTTTCAAGCTGAGATAAAGCCCCAGGGATTGTGTGTGTGACAGGGCTCACACCTTCACTGACTTTTCTCTTGCAGGAGTTTGGTCTGGCCAGGTTCAAAAGCAACGTGACCAAGAGCACTAAGGGATTTGAATATGTGCTAGCAAAAATGCAAGGTGGGCACCAAGGGCAGGCTGGGGCTGAGCGGGATGGGTCTCTTGGAGTTAGAGGTCACACTGGGAACACTCCAGTCCATGGGCAGGTTGCTGCTTGAACTAATCTGACTGTGAAATCCTCACCCCTTGCCTTTGCCCTGTGTCTTGGCACAGCCTGCTCTGCCCTGAGTGGATCAGGCCAGCAGTGATTGCAGGGCCGGGCACGGGTGTTGTGCAGGCAGGAGGGGGTGGAACGTGGTGACAGTCACGCCCCTGTGGTTCCCCTTCGGACGTGCCCTGACCTGCTGGGGGCAGGAGCGCCGGGCTCATCTTCCTCCGCGTGTGGGGAAGTGCCTGGGTGGCAGGGCCGGTCTGGCCGGCACTCCTGGGGGGTTAATGGCTTCCATGTTGTAGGAGAAGCTCCATCCAAAACACTGGTGGAGACAGCCAAGGAAGCGACCGAGAAAGCCAAGGAAACAGCTCTGGCTGCTACAGAGAAAGCCAAGGACCTGGCGAGCAAGGCAGCCACCAAGAAGAAGCAGTACGTGTGAGGGGCCAGCTGCACCAGGACAGATAGGAGACTCCTTAGATTTTATATTTTTAAAGAAACTGTATAAGTCTGACAATCAGCTGCTGCTTGACCCTTTCTGAGATGTAATTATCATTAAAGAATCTCCTCCCACCTCTGATTTGGCTGAGGCTGGCCTGGCTAGAGCAGAGCCCAGGGCTGCTCTGCACTTTGGGGGTGCAGCTCTCTGCAGGGAAGACACAGGCCAGGGTTTTACCAAGTGCTTTTACTATAAAAGTGTCGGGTCTGTACAAGAGAGTGGGGTGGCTGCAGGAGCATGAAGGCAGGTTCCTTAATGCACTCATTTCCCCTTCCTGGCGCTCCAGGGGCAGGAGAGCTTTTCTGTAGTCGTGTCTGCAGTGGGCAGCACCGCCCCATACCCACACCAGGCAGCGCCCAGACTGCCCGTGGGTGCACAGGGGGAGGCAGGAGAGTGTCCTCAGTGACAGCTGGGCCTTCTTCCAGCACCTCTTCCAGTGCCTTGTGGTGCACAGCAGGTGCCACAGCGCAGTGCCAGCCCCACGCACCCAGTGCCACAGCCAGTGCCACCCAGCCGTGCGGGGGTAGGGCCGGACTCTTGCCCCAATCTGTGGCCCCTTAGCCCGGCAGCTGTGCCGAGGCTGGCCGGGGCCGGGTTTCCAGCCGGAAGGAGGCGGGCAGGCAGCGCAGGGAAGGCAGCGGGCGCCGTCAGGAGGCGGGGCTGTGCGGGCTGGAGTAGCTGTGCTCCCTCCCGGTGCCAAAGCCGGGCAGCAGGTCCCCGCTGAACACCACACCATCCACCTCTACCTCGGCATCCTCTGCGCGTGGGGAAGGCCGGGTCAGGCCCTTGGCTGCTCTCCCTCCCTGCCCACCCTCGTTCTTTCTCTGCCCTTTCTTTCCCTTACCTTCCTCGGAGGGCTCTGAGAGCCGGGAGGAGTCCAGGCTGTCAGCCCGTGCCCGTTCCCCATCAGCGGGCAAGAGCAGCGACTCCAGCCGCCGCTGCAGGCTCCGCTGCCGGTCCCGCAGCCGGTCCTTGGCCCTTCGTGCCCTCAGCTCCTGCTCCTCCAGCCTCTGTGGGGGCCCGTGAGCCGTGAGCGGGGACCGAGCTGGGCGGCCCTGTTGCCCCCCAGGACCTCCCGAGCGCTGCCGGTGCCACCACCCCGCTCACCTGGATGTGGAGCCGGGCACGGTGCAGGAGGCTCAGCGTGGTGGAACGGGCCGGCCCCACGCCCAGCGGCACCTGCTGCTTCAGCCGCTCCAGGCAGCACCGGAGCTGGGCTCTCCTGCCAACGGGCACGGCGGGAACGACACGGGGGTCAGCCACGGGAGAGGCACGGGTCCTACCACCGCCTGCCCCGCCGCTCTCCCCCCACGCCCCCGTACCTGTGCTTCTCCAGCGCGTTGTGCACCGACCTGCGGGAGAGACCCGGCTGATCAGCACCGCCGCCACCGCCCGCTGCCACTCACCCACCTACCCATCCACCGCTCACCTGACGCTGCCCACGGCCCGGCGCGGCGGCGCGGGGCAGAGAGCGGCGTAGCCGTGCTCGGCCCCGGCCAGGCCGAGCAGGTGCCGGTGCTCGCGGTGCTCCAGGAACTCGGCCGCCTGCAGCAGCACCTGGATGCGGCTGCCCGCGGGCTCCATGGCGGGACGCTGGGGGGGCCGCGCGCCGCGCGCTCATTGGCTGCGGGGCGCCCCGCGCCGCTGACGTCACCTCGGCGGGCAAACAAATTCAGGCGGGAAAGCGCGTGCTTCAAATTTGAATCGGCGGGAGGGGACGGCGCGGGCCACGCCCCCCACGCCTGGGCCACGCCCATGTCGGTGTTTAAGCAATTGTCACCCCCTCAGGGCCACGCCCCCGGAGAGGTGCGCCCGCCCACGTGCGCGCCCGGTGACGCGCGGGGCGCGCCCGCCCGTGTCCGCCCGTGCGGGAGCGCGCCCGCCCCGCTGCCCCCAGCCCCTCGTCCCCCGCCCCACCGAGCCCATGGGTGTCCCCACACCGGCCGCGCCCACCAGCGCGCCCGGGATCGCCGCGGCCCAGCGCCACACGGCCCAGACAGACGGGTTTATTATCTCTTTATTAAAATCCATGGGGTGGAGGCGATAGGGAGGGAAGGGGAGCGCCGGGCCCCGGCTCCCGGGCACGGCACGGGCGGGCCCGGGGCACCCGCTGTCATGTGAGGGCTGTTTGCACCTTCTCAGGCCAGGCCCCGGGGGGAGACTCTGCCCCGGGCCCAACAGCAGCCAAAGTTCAGATGAAAAAAAAACCACCACGAAGCACATTTCCAGCCGGGGGGCAGGTGCGCGGCAGCTCACCCAAAGCAGGGCAGGCCAGGTGCTCCAGGAGAGGCGGTCCTGCGCCCACCATCACTCCGCACGGGCTGCCGCCGTGCGTGGGGTCCTGCCCCTGTGCACCGGGGGGAGCCCAGCGCCAGGTGGGGGGGTCCTGCCGCCATGCCCACCGAGCTCTGAGCAGAGCCACGGGGCCGAGGTGCTGCCCGGCAGCCCCGGAGCGGCCCTGGGCACCAGCTGTGCGGCTCCCGCACTGCAGAGCGGGCAGGGGGCTCTCACTGGCTCCGGGCACAGCGGGACACGGGCGGGAGGTGCGTGCTGTAGCAGTGGGTGCAGACACGGACGGGTTTGCTCTGGCTGTAGCAGGGCAGCACGGCGGTGTTCGGTGAGCAGCGGGCACAGAAGATCTGCAGAGAGGCCAGAGAGGGGCTGAGCAGAGCTGGGTCACTCAGGGAACCCCAAATACCCCATCCCAACCCCGTCCTACCCTCCCACAGCTGCGGCAGTGGTGCCGGCGGCGCAGCAGCGTGAAGGGCGAGCGGCAGGCAGAGCACTGGCTGCATGTGCTGTCGGGCACCCACTCGGGCAGGGGATGGGCACCTGCTGGGCAAAGCACATCAATAAAACCCCCTCAGCCTGGCTCCCCTCACAGCCAGACCCCCAAAGGCAGGATGGGGCAGGATCAGCCCAGCCTCACCCCCTGCCCAGAGGCACAGCACCTGGGCAGCTCCTCACCTGCCCTCCGGAGCCTGGCAGCCTCTGCAGGGCTGGAGCACAGCGGGCAGTCAGCCACACGAGGAGCATCTGTCACACGGGAGCTACCATCTTTCTCCTCTGTGGGGACAAAGGTTGTGGTCCAGCCAAGCAGGAGCTGGGCAGGCACAATGGCCACGTTTTTCCCAAGCCTAGGGCTGTGGCCTTGTCTCACCAGGGATGGGCAATGGGCAGGGCAGAGGAGCAGTGCCACATGTCCCTGGGGATTACTCACTGTTGTAACTCTGCTCCTCTGAGGGCTCCGCCTGCGAGCAGACGATCTTGAAGACCGTTTTCAAGATGCTTCGCATGTCACTGGCAAAGTTGGTCTGGAGCTGGTCGGCCACCCCTGCAGCAGGAGGGTCGGGGATCAGGGTGCTGGGGGGGATCAGGGTGCTGGGGGGGATCAGGGTGCTGGGGGGATCAGGGTGCTGGGGGGGATCAGGGTGCTGGGGGGATCAGGGTGCTGGGGGGGATCAGGGTGCTGGGGGGATCAGGGTGCTGGGGGATCAGGATGCTGGGGGATCAGAGTGCTGGGGGGATCAGGGTGCTGGGGGATCAGGGTGCTGGGGGCTGGCTTGGGGGTCACCCACTCACCCGAGATGCAGACGAAGAGGGTGTGCAGCATGTCCTTGGTGCTGCTGTAGCGGGAGCGCAGCTCCGAGCAGCAGGCACCGGGGGCGGCACTGACCCCCACCCCTGGGCTGCTCCCCAGGGTCTGGGGGCTGCGCAGGGGGGAGGTGACCATTACACCAGGGATGGTGTGAGATACACCTGTCCCAGTGGACAGGGATTTGTCATCTTGGCCCTCTGCACACCCTTGCTGCCAGTCGGTGCCCAGATCACCCACTGCACTGGGGGGTCCCAGTTGTGTTGTGCAGGTGGGGAGTGGTTGGGTGGCATTAGGGACCTCCAGAAGACTGAAGGGAGCAGGAGGGTCCACACTGGGCACAGCTGCCCCCCAGGCTGGGGGCGCCTCTGGGCTGCAGGGCTCCTCCTGTTCGGCTGTGCACAGGCTCCTCTCCAGCACGCAGAGCTCCTCTGCTGACAGCACCCGCAACAGGTCCCTGCAGTGAGGGGTTGGCATCAGCCCCATGTCAGGGCCCACTGCTGCCCCACAGCCCTGCCCAGCGCCCTCCCATTGCACACCTGATCTTCTTCAGGAGGTTGTAGAAGGGGCTGAAGACCCGGGACATCTCCTCAGGGCTCCGCTCCAGGCTGAGGGGTCCCTCGGGGTAGATGAGGAGACCACTGTGAGGGGACAGAGCCCAGCTCATGTCAGGGGTTGCCTGGGAGCCCAAGTCCCCATGAAGAGAAGGGGCTGGTACAGGGCAGGGAACACTCTGCAGGGGCTGCTGCACCCACCTGATAATGGCCAGGCGAGGGATGGTGAACATCAGCAGTGGCTCATAGCCATCGATCATCTCCTGGGTCAGGTAGCCCAGGTGCAGGGCTCTGGGGACACACAGATACCCTTACAGGGATCTGAGCCTAGGGATGGTGCCCATCCTTGGGGCTGGAGTCCCTGCAGACCCCACACACAGCACCCCTCACTCACCTCTCCACGGTCTCACAGAAGAGCACGATGATCTCCTGCTGCCTGTAGATCTCATCAGGAGACTTCACTGCCACCAGCGAGGACACGTAGCTGGAGAGACGGGGAGACTGTGAGGCCCCTACAGCCCTGGCACAGCCCACCAGGACCCCAGCAGCCTAACCCTGCCCCTTACCTCAGCTCAAACTCTGCAAAGAGCCGGTCGAATTGGATGAGCACAGCCCGGACAGGCTCTGGGTAGCAGTTGGGCTGGCTCAGGCTCTGCTCCCGCAGCACGGTCCGGACCAGCTCCAGGCTGCAGAGCAGATTCCTGGCCTGGGGCCGCAGCTGGGCCCCGTCTGACTCCTCCATCTCCAGGAAGGTCCCAGCCAGGAGACACTGCCGGGACAGGGACTGTCAATGCCGGCCCCCAGGGTCAGCTCCCGGTGGGGTGTCCATGGCCCCGGGCTCACCTCGGCAGCAAACAGCATGTGGTTCCCGAGGTTGTCCACCAAGAGCTCCTCGGGGAACTTGACCAGGTAGTCCCGGCTGTGGCGCTGCGTGGGGATGCACTCGTCCATGATGCGCTCCAGGACGGCCAGCAGGTGAGCCTGGGGACGGCAGGGGTGTCACCGCGGCCTCGGGGGGACAGAGTGACAGCGGGCTCCGGGCTGGCTCCGTACCTGGCTGAGGTGGAGCTGGTTGAGGAGCACCAGGTACTGCTGCGGGTCCAGCTCGGCGTCCAGCCCGTTGATCTCGGCCACCACCCGTGTCACCCTCTCGTCGGCAAAGAAGAACTGGGAGAGCAGGCGTGGGTCGGAGCGCTGCGGGAAAGGCAGAGGGGCGATTGATGGCGGGGACACCCCACATGTCCATGTGCTGCTCCAGCGGGATCCCAAACTCCCGTTCCCACGGTCGCGGGGGGATCGGACCCCACGGATCCACAAACACCTATCGGGGCAGGTACGTGGAACCTCCCACGGCAGCTCTGGCTCCTCCCGGGGAGCGCCGCCCTCCCCACCCACCGGTGCCTCAGTTTCCCCGGGGGCAGAGCAGGATGAACAAGCTCAGCCGCATCCCGGCAGCTTTGGCACCGATCCATGCGTACCTGTAAACACCGGGAAAGGCCCCCCCGGAGTCCCCCCGCTTCCTCCTCCCGCTCCACCACGAGGGACCCCGGCCGCCCCCGCTGCTCCCGGGATGGCCGCAGCTCCTGGACCGCCCCGACGGGCTCGTCCGGGGGCTCGGCCGGTCCCGGGCGCAGGGAGGGCGGCCCGGTCCGACTCCTCCGATCTCACCTTGGGTCGGCGGAGCCATCGGCGGAGGGCAGCGGGCAGCATGGCGCGTCCCGCAGCTCTGCCGCCGCCCGGCTCCCCGCGCCCGCCGCTCGCCGACGGGGCGGGTCGGCACCGGGCACCGCCCGCGGGGCGGATCGGAGCGGGTCCGCCCAGTCCCGGCACCGGGACGGCCCGTCCGCTCCTCGACGGACCGGTTCTCTGTGATGGGAAGGGTGAGGGCGCGTCTGCCGTGGGGCGGGATGGGTTTCACCGCCGGCTTTCCTTCCCGGTCTTGGTTCCCGTCTCAAATTCCCCACTGCAGCCCCGGCTATCCTCCCCCGGTTCCTCTCTCCACGCAGCCCAACAATCCGGGGGCAGGGACACCCCAGCGCTTCCCACAGCATTCCCGGGTGATGGGGAACACCGGGAGAAGCACCCGCAGGCACCACGGGGTGCGGAGCGGGGTAGTGCAGTGGGAAGGGGATAAAGTGGCCCCTCGGTGGGACAAAGAGGAACCAAGTGGCCAAGAAGAGGTGCTGGGGGGTATTCGGGGCGTTGGCCACAGCAAACCACCCCAGCTGTGCCAAAGGACGTGTTTGCTCCACACCTGGCACTGCTGGCCACAGGATGTGGGTGCCGATAATTCAGGTGGCTGGAAGCCTAATGGGCTGGAATCATGGGTAAAGAATCCGTGGAGGATGGTTGAACAAACACGGCAGTGGCACCTCCTCGACTTCTGAAAGTCCCTGAGTCATGGCAGAGCCCCGGCTGTGCTGGATGGGTGCAGGTGTGGGACTGGCCCCGCTCTTGGGGCTCCCTGTGTACCCCACAGACCCCGGCTCTGTTTTCAGCCATGTCCTGGTTCCCCTGTATGGGGATCCCTGAGCACACAGTGAGATTGGAGCCCTGCTTGTCCCACAGGTCCCCACAGATCTGGGAACCACAATAAAAGAAGAATAAAGCTATTAGAGAGTGTCCAAAGGAGGCTGCAAAGAGTCTAGAGGGGAAATCACATGAAAAGCTGCTGAAGTCCCTTGGTCTGTTCAGTCTGGAGAACGGGAGACTGAGGAGAGACCTCATTATGAGCTGCAGCTGCCTCAGGAGGGGCAGCCGAGGGCAGCTCCAATCTCTGCTCTCTGTGCTAGTAACAGGACCCGAGGGAATGGCTAGAGCTGTGTCAGGGGAAGTTTAATTTGGATATTAGGAAAAGGTTCTTTGCCCAGAGGGTGGGCAGGCACTGAACAAGCTCCCCAGGGAAGTGATCATGGCCCCAAGGCTGACAGAGCTCCAGGAGCATTTGAACAATGCTCTCAGGCACAGGGTGAGATTCTTGGGTCCTTTGCAGGGCCAGGAATCACAGAATCATAGAGAAGTTTGGAAATTACCTTAAAGATCATCTCGTTCCATCCCACAGCCATGGCAGGGACACTTTTCACTATCCCAGGTCGCTCCAAACCCTGTCCAGCCCAGCCTTGAAGACCTCCAGGGATGGGGCAGCCACAGCTTCTCTGGGCAGCCTGGATGTCTCCCCACACTCACAGAGAAGACTTTTTTCCTAATATCTAACCTAGTCCTGCTCTCTTTCAGTTCGAACCGAAGGAGCTGCACTCTGATGATGCAGGTGGGGACTCGATCGCGATGCACCCCCAGTTTCCCTTTATGACCCGCGGGAGCCTCGGGGCGCGGGGCGGATTCGAACCCACGGCGCTGCCGCCGCTCCCCCTGCCCGCCAGGGGGCGCAGCGCTGCCCTCACCCAAGATGGCGGCGGCGGCTTCACGTCCCCGAGCGTTTCCCCCCTCCCTCCCTCCCTCCTTCCCGCGGGCAGGGGCCGGACGGGCCGCGCCGCCATATTGGCTGTTGTCCTGGCTGCGGCGGGCTCGCCATGACTCGCCGGCGGAACAAGGCGGCAACGGCGGCAACGGCGACGGCAGCGGCGGCAGGTGGCTCCGGGCCTCGCCGTGACAGGATGGCGGGCGCCGACGTCGGGCCTCCCCCGCCGCCACCGCCACCGGAACCGCCCGCCCTGCCTGAGGTGGCGGCGGCGGCGGGCAGCGGCGGGGAGTCGGGCAGAGGCAGCGCGCAGGTACCGGGGTAGCGCTGCGGCGGGCACGGGGCTGGCTCCGAGGGGGGTTCCGCCTGGGCGGGGACGGGGCCCTGCCCCTTGCACCCCATCCCCCCCGGGCCCTGCCCGTCCCCGCCCCGACCCCCGGCTCGGAGCATCCCTGCGGATGGGGCTGGGAGCGCTCCCAGAGCGCCCCGCGGGCGGGCCCAGCCCGGCACGGCCCCGCACGGCCCCGCCGCTGGGCGATGGCAGGTGGCTCCAGCATCCTCATTCAGCGCGCTTCTCCCTGCTGGACACACCTGGCTGCCGCCACCTGCTCCGGGCTGTGGGCAGCGAGGCGGGGCTGGGCGCCGGGTGTGGATGTGCTGCGTGCATTGGGGACAGCCGCGGTGTCACCAGCCTTGGTGTCACCCGCCATGGTGGCGGTGTCAGCTGGGACGCGGGGTGGCCCCGTTGCTCCCCCCTCGCCGTGGGTGGGCAGGGGGGCTGTGCCCCCACCCTGCTCTCCTTGGCCTCTGACCTTTGCTTCACCTTGAGCCTGCAGACGCCATCTGTTTGGCAGCAGCAGTTCAATGCACGGCTCATTGTGGCAGGGCCCCGCTGCGCCGGCAGACAATGGGGGCCCCCTCGCCCGCGCCACGCCGGGCTCGTCACGGCTGTCAGGGCTCCGGCGAGCCCGAGGGATGCAGCCCGGCTCCTGCAGGGAAGCCCCAACCTGGCTGTGCCTGTGCAGGGAGGGCGTGAAGCAGCACAGGGGGCTGCACCCCACCCTGGCGCATCAGCACCGCTGGCTGTGCAGAACAAAGAGGCGGGAGAGAGGGCTTGGGGCTCTTGGGTGACACAGTGGGGGCATCTTTGATGGGCGAGGAGGGAGAGCTGAGGCTGTCAGACCCACCCTTCATATCCCTGTGTGGGATTTCTGTGGGTCTTGCTTTGCCATACAAGTACCCTCAGTCTCACTGTACCAGAGGTGATGATGGGAGTTGCTGATGGCTTCCCAGCCTCGCTGGTGGCAAGGCTGGCTCTTTGGCATGCTGTGATCTTCCCAGAAATCCAAACACTCCCAAGCTGGCACATGGCAGGTTGGCAGCAGCTGGTCAGCCTGAGGCTGCTCTGCTCCACTGGGAGAAGGTGCAATACCACATGTAGCCTGTAAGAATTTCCTTGGTTTGGTGTCAGCGTCCTGAGGCCTCCTTCACTGCCCCACATCTGCGCCAGATCACACCTGGGTGACTCACGGTCTGTGTGTCCTTCCCCAGGTGCTGCCCACCGCCAACCAGTCCGTGCAGACCTGCTGCCTGCTCTGTCACCGGGAGCGCAAGGACTGGGGAGGGCCGTCCCACAATGGGCTGGTTTCCCCGGGCGAGAGGCTGCCACCCGACTTCGTGCCAACGCTCGTGCAGAACCTCCTGGGAGAAATGCCCCTGTGGATCTGCCAGAGCTGCCGCAAGAGCGTGGAGGAGGAAGAGCGGCGGGCGGTGCAGGAGCAGGCCCTGGCGGTACGCGCTCACGGGGCTGGGGGTTGGAAGGCAGGGCTGTGGCTGCAGGGACAGGGCACTGACCACCCTGCGGCACTGACTGCGTGTGTGGGTCCCATCCTCACTCTGAGCTGAGTGTCCCAGACATCGCAGCCTTCACTTCCCTGCCAGGGCTGCCTCTGGCTCAGCAGGGACAGGCCCTGTTGGGGCACTGTGTGGTGCTGTGGAGGCTCATCCAGCAGCTTGGAGTGCCAGGCTGGCAAGGCTGGCAGTGCCACTGCTTTCCTCTGCTGCACGTTGTGCCGCGTCCCCCAGCCCCAGGGCTGCTCCCTTCATGACGCAGAGAGAGGCAGTGGCTGCCAGGGCAAGTGCCTGCCTGTGCGTGGGGTTTGGGTAGAGGAGTTGGCTCCTGCCTGGCTTTATTTAACCCTGCCCTGGTGTGAGTGGGACCAGCACAGGGACACAGCACAGGTGTGTGGCCCTTGGCATGGCCCAGCCTCTGTGAGCCAGGCTGTGTTGGTGTTGGATGGAGGGGGTGTTTGTCACTCCCAAGTGATAAAAGTGGTTCACGAGCTGAGCCCCTGCTGCAATGGAGGGAGTCAGAGCTGACACCTGGGGGCCAAGGTGTCCCCTCAGCCACTTCATTCTGTGTTTCCTTTGATAGGTCTCCTTATCCCACACATCCTGCAAGTCGCAGTCTTGTGGGGGTGGCTCACACTCCTCTTCCTCCTCCTCCTCGTCTTCTTCCTCCTCGTGCCACGGGAACTCAGGGGACTGG